AAAGAGTGTCATCTCTTTATCCTGCTCCCCTGGTGGTGGGACATCCAGCAGCATGAAGTCTGGCAAATATTTAGGGATGTGTCTTGCTCAGTGCACCAAGGATATTGATGAATTGAAATAACCCTGTTCACGTTGGAGTTCATTTATATAATCCCATTTCAGTCTCACATCTCAGTTGGGTAAACAGGATAACTTTTTTTTTTTCTTTTTTTTTTTGCTGCACGCGGGCCTCTCACTGTTGTGGCCTCTCCTGTTGCGGAGCACAGGCTCCGGATGCGCAGGCTCAGCAGCCATGGCTCACGGGCCCAGCCGCTTTGCGGCATGTGGGATCTTCCCAGACCGGGGCACGAACCTGCATCCGCTGCATCGGCAGGTGGACTCTCAACGACTGCGCCACCAGGGAAGCCCAACAGAATAACTTTTATTGTCCCCATTTTACAGATGATAAAGCAGTGGCTTAGAGAGGTCCAGTGCCACACAGCAGTGAAATGGCAGACTCAGATCCTCTGACTGTAGCCCATTTTTCTCTTCATTCTCAATCTCACATCCCGCTGCTTGGCAGGTTGCATTTATGGACAGGATACATTGATTTAGACCAGCTCTGTCCCAGTAAACCATCTCTGGGATGATGGAACTGTTCTGTACTTGCACTGTCCAATTCAAAGGCCACCAGCCACGTGCTACTACTGAGCACTTGAAATGTGGCTACTATGAGTGAGGAATTAAAGTTTTAATTTAATTTTAATTAGTTTAGATTTAAATAGCCACACATAGACAGTGCAGATCTAGTGACAGAGTCTGGAGAATAATGGGAAACTGAAAAATTGTTCAGTGGTTTCTACTCACAAATCAAAGTAAACCTCAGCCACTTGTTTGCCTTTCTCTTAAAAGATCTTCTTAACTCTTTTTCAGTAGAGTGTTAAAGCTGGCTCACTTTCTTGACAAGGGCACCATCACCATGCAATATATAATTCAAATGATGCCTTGAAACCAGTGATTGGCCAGCAGAAACAAACTGTGTTGTAGAGCAGGCTTCCCAAACTTCAACATGTATAGGAATCACCTGGGATCTTGTTGAAATACAGATTCTGATTTAGTAGGTCTGGGGTGGGGCCTGGGATTCTGCCTTTCTAATAAGTGCCCAGGTGATGCTGCCGCTGCTGCCCTGTGAACCACACCTTGACTAGCAAAGCTGTAGAGCAGCAGTTGGGTTAATATTGTCTCCCTTCACTCCTGGGGGCGTTTGGCAATGTCTGGAGATATTTTTGGTTGTCATGGCTTGGTGGGAGAGGTGCTGTTGGCATCTACTGGGTCCTGAGATGCTGCTAAATATTCTACAATATATAGGACATGATAATTATCCTGCTCAAAATGGCAGTAGGGCCAAGTATGAGAACCCAGGCTGTACAGCCAAGTCTGCTCTCCAGGAAGAGGGGGTGGGTGGGAGAGCGATGGAGTGGGTCTTCTTGGTATAATAACTGAGTGCTGTTTTCTCTCTCTCATTCTTCTCTCCTACTTATCTACACACAGGAGCCAATGCCTCGGCCCCAGACCAACTGAGCTTAGCTTTAGCCTGGAACAGAGTCGACATCGCCCGCAGCCAGATCTTTATTTATGGGCAACAGTGGCCGGTAGAGTATATGTTGTCACCCCTGAAAAGCCCACTTGCTTGGGCAAGGGTATTTGTTTAAGGAATCTCTGAGAGCGGCTCAGGAAACCGCTGCTTTTTCTTTAGGGTGGAAACGTTCCTTTGTAGCTGTCCTCTTTCTCAGCTCCCTTTCTTATATTTAGGAAAACACTGTCATCTGGTGGAAGATATGACAAAGCACAGCTCCAAATGTTCCAAACATTTCCATTTCTCTGAGTGGCCTTTGATAGCTATGTTTAGCTACAACTAATGCCATTTCTTTTATATGCCTGAAAAAATATATATAAGACAAAATTGTGTTAATTAAAACTAAGTAAGGAGCAGAGTTAGCAGTTTGTTTCTGGTTGTCCCGGAGGTTTCTGCTGCCATTCGCTGGCACCCCATGCTGGTGTGGGGCTGGGTCGCACCTTAGGATACAGAATTAGCAGGCTTCCACGTGCCGGTGCCATCTGGTCCTGGAGGCTGAGCATAGGTCCTCCCTGAACCCAAGAACAATACAGAGGCAACGAAAGCTTTATGTAACTGTTCTTGGTTTGTTTCCGTCAACTGGCTCTACCAAAAATAAAAACTTGGAAAATTGGCCATTGGGTGGTGTATGCTTGCATGCCCAGGAGGCAGCCAACAGTCTGGGATTTGATTTCTGTGCCTGGAATCACTGCAGGACAACACCTTCATGTACAGGTCTTTTTTAACCCTTCCTCTGCCCCAGAGAGCTTCTGCCTAGGATTGAAACCCTGGCTTCATTTAGTGCAAATGAATTTCTAGTGTGGAAAGATTTGTCAAGGAATCTGGACACTGGGAAATTTTTGTGAAAGAAGTTAAATAAAACCCTAGTAAACAGACCAAATGACCTAAATAGTTACTGGGCCTCCGTGTAGAAATGGGCAAGGTGGAGACAAGGTAGTATCACTTAACTAAAAACAAAAAGAGCAGCCTTCTTTCTGGTCTGTTTACTAGGATCCCTCCTCTCAGGTCAGCCAGGAGTCCAATTTAGAGCCTAAGGAAGATGACAGTGAAGACAGTAAAGTACTCACTTTGGCACTTCACTGGTTTTGTAGAAGTTAGGTCAGAGAGTTGGAAGAGGGAAAGCCTTGTAAACCCTTGCACCTTCTCAGAATCTAGAAACAAAAAAAGAGATTCAAGGAAGAAATAGCTTTTGGAACTAGAGATCCTTGTGTTCTGTTTGCAAAAACAAGCCCCAAAACATAGGAGACTGTGACTGTCCCAGAAGTGGGGTTGGGCAACTCTTGCTAGCATGTTCTTGGGGATGCTGAAGGTTTACCAGATGTCAAAGGCATCCATTTCTAAACTATTCAGGAGAATGCCAGAGAACTACATCCTTAGACCCTGAGTCAGACTAACTCTGACTTGATTTGCAGGTGGGGTCTCTGGAGCAAGCCATGTTGGATGCCCTAGTTCTGGACAGAGTGGATTTTGTGAAATTACTCATAGAGAATGGAGTAAGCATGCACCGTTTTCTCACCATCTCCAGACTAGAGGAATTGTACAATACGGTAGGACCAAGCTAAGGCACATTTTATTTTCTCTACTTTTTGTGTGTGTTTGTTTTACCTTCTCCTGCCCCCCACATGTCTGTGAGTCCCTGCCCTCCCCTCCAAATGCATGGATCATTTTCCACAAATGCTCCCTTAGACCTGTACAGACAACAAACACCAAGTCACCAAGAATCCACTTGTTTTAACTGCTCAGTTGTCAGCATCTAAGAAGCAGAAAGTTACGTGATCACCAAAAGGTAATGTTCTCAGTTTCTTACACAAAATCATACGGCTCTGGAAATTAGAACACACTTTATTCTGTAAGCCCAGAGGGTGTTTGAGGCAATCAGCAGAGGAGGATTGATTTAACTCCAAGCATCAAAGGAGGCTGATTAACTATCCTGCACCATCTTGTTATCCTCAGAGCTATGAAGTTCATTCATTCCACTATAATAGGATAAAATGTAAAATCCTCTTGTTTGGAGTTACCCAGAAAGATTTTTTTTGTTTTGTTTTATAATGATTTGTTAATTCATTCACTCGGGATACCAAGAAGTAATCAAAAGAAAACCTACTCTTTATGAAGTTGTTGAGAGTATCCAGTGAGTTAAGTACATCAGCTCTGAGCTGATACTCACTAAAATACAATGAAGTTTAAAGAGTAGATATTGTTTTCCCCCATTTTACAGATGAGGAAACTGAGGCCAAGGAGAGAATTGGCTTATTCAAGATAACAAAATTTCTAAGTAAAGAAAGAATCCAGTACTGAACCAAAGCTTCTTTCTCAGAGACTGTTTTTCCCTTCATTTGTCACAGTCCCTCTTTGTCCCACCACCCACAGCACTAATGAGATGGAGCTTGTTGACCTGTCCCCAGCCAGTGATAGGTATTAGCTGGTGCCACCCTGGCTCTGTAACATTCCCACTGCTGGAAGTAGAAAACAAGTTAGTGGAATGACCCCACGTTTCTGTTTTCTCTGCAGATTTTTCTCAGTTCCGCATACTAAGACTTTCAGTAATAATAGGCCAGAATGGCAGAGTGGGAGACCCAGCCTCTATCCCCCCCTACAAAGATCAACAATTAGACAGCTACCCACAGACAAAGACAGCTCTAGGAGAGCTCAGGGGTTCAATTAAGAAACTTCAGCAAAACAGTGGAACAAAAAATATCTGAAAATAACCACACAAAAAGGAGAGGAAGAACAGCTTCATTGTGTCTGTATCACCATGTCCCCTGAGGCCAGCACAGCTCTGTGCCAAGAGGAAGCTCCTCAGCTAGAAATAGTTCCCCTCACTGGAAAAGAGAGAGCCAGTGAGCCTTTCAGGGCACTGCACAAAGGACACACTTTGGTTTCACCCCACCCAGAGACCTGCAAAGCTGAGACATACTGTGATAGCTAGGAACACAGTATCAGCCAGGCTGAAGGCTGAGTAACCACGGTTCCCAGGGACCTGCTCTGCAGAGGACCCTGGCATTTTTCACCAGTGAAGAAACCAGTAGCCAGCACAGCTGCCACAGACCCCTGCAGATTTCACTGGCTTTTGCTCTACAGATATTTGCGTTCATAGACACCAGTCACCCAAGCCCCTCACCACTCCCTCTCCCCTCACCCCTGCTGGTCCACACCAGCAGCCAGCCCAGGCCTCTGTGGCTACACGATTGCAAGAACCCAGCCTAGACCCCCATGGCTGACCTCCACTGCTGTGCACACTCTGAAAGCTAGCATCTCTGGCTGTGCACCTGTACACTGCTGGCCTGACAAACACCATCACAGCTGTGGAAATGCAAGACCCTAGAACTGCAAGACCCTGCAGCTACATGAGTACACTCCATCAGCCAAGGCTGCATGTGGACCAATAGCAAGTAAGGAGATTGAATCAGGAATCAAAAACCTCCCAACAAAGAAAAGCCCAGGACCAGATGGCTTCACAGGTGAATTCTACCAAACATTTAAAGAATTAACTCCAATTCTTTTCCAATTCTTCAAAAAAAATTGAAGAGGAGGGAATGTTCCCAAACTTATTTTAGGAGGCCAGTATTACCATAATAGCAAAGCCAGATAAGGACACTGCAAGAAAAGAAAACTACAGGTCAATATTCCTGATGAATATAGTTGCAAAAATTCTCAACAAAATACTAGCAAACCAAATTGAAGCACATTAAAAAGATGGTATACCATGGTCAAGTGGGAGTCTTCCTAGATGCAAGGATGTTTTAACATATGCAAATTAATAAATGTGATACATCACATTAATAGAATGAAAGACAAAAATCATATGATCATCTCAGTGGATGCAGAAAATATATTTGACAAAATTCAACATCCTTTCATGGTAAAAACTCTCAACAAATTGAGTGTAAAAGTAACACACCTCAATGTAATAAAGGCCATATATGACAAACCCATAGCTAACATCATACTCAATGGCGAAAGATTGAAAGCTTTCCCTCTGAGATCAGGAACAAGAAAATTGTGCCCACTCTTACCACTCCTATTCAACATGGTACTGGAAGTCGTAGCCAGAGAAATTAGGCCAAAAAAAAAAAGGAGAAAAAGCAATCAAAATTTTTTATCCAAATTGAAAAGGAAGAAAGAAAATTGTCTCTGTTTGCTGATAACAGCATCTTTTTTTTTTTTTTTTTTTTTGCGATATGTGGGCCTCTCACTGTCGTGGCCTTTCCCATTGCCGGACGCGCAAGCTCAGCGCCCATGGCTCACGGGCCCAGCCGCTCCGCGGCATGTGGGATCCTCCCGGACCGGGGCACGAACCCGTATCCCCTGCATCGGCAGGCGGACTCTCAACCACTGCGCCACCAGGGAGGCCCTGATAACAGCATCTTGTATACAGAAAATCCTAAAGACGCCACCAAAAAAACTATTAGAACTAATAAATTCAGTAAGTTTCAATATACAGAAGCAACATACAAAAATCAATTGTATTTATGTATGCTAACAATGAACTATCTGAAAAAGAAACAAAGAAAACAATTCCATTTACAACAGCACCAAAAACAATAAAATACTTAGGAATAAACTTAACCAAAGAAGTGAAAGATCTATATATCAAAAACTATAACATTGATAAAAGAAATTGAAGAAGGCACAAATAAATGGAAAGATATCTCATGTTCATGAACTGGAAGTGTTAATATTGTTAAAATGTTCATGCTACCCAAAACCATCTATAGATTCAATGCAATTCTGATGGCATTTTTCACAGAAATAGTTAAAAAAACATTCCTAAAATTTGCATTGAAACATCAAAGACCCTGAATAGGCAAAGAAATCATGAGAAAGAAGAACAAAGGTGGAGACATCACACTTCTTGATTTCAAACTATATCACAAAGATACAGTAATTGAAATAGTATGGTATCAGCATAAAAACAGACACATAGACCAATGGAACAGAATCAAGAGCCCAGCAATAAACTCATGCATATACAGTTAACTAATATTAGACAAGGGAACAAAATATAGGAAACAATATGGAGGTTCCTCAAAAAAGTTGGGGCCGAGGGGTGGGGGAAATGGGGAGATGTTGGCCAAAGGATACAAACTTTCAGTTATAAGATGAATATGTTTCAGGGATCTAATGTACAGCATTGTGACTGTAGTTAACAGTACTATATTGTATACTTGCAAGTTACTATGAGATCAGAGCTTTAATGTTCTCACCATAACAACAGCAAAATGATTATTAAGTGAGGTGAAGGATATGTTAACTAACCTTATTGTGGTAGACATTTCACAATATATACGAGCATCAAATCATCACACTGTACACCTTAAACTTACACAATGTTACATGTCAATTTTATCTCAATAAAACTGGGGAAAGAATAATAATGGGGTTTTCAGTAAAATAAATAAATGAAAACACAGAGTTGAATGACCTTCATATAAATTAGAGAATCAAGGGAGTAGAGTGATTTATTCCAGTGATTGGAAAGAAGTAAGTAGGAAAGTTATAGATCAAGAAAGGCCAATAGATTTCATCACTCCAGTCAAGTGTAATCAGCATTCCCTAGAGTACTCTGTTGAAAAGGATTATGGAACAGTGAATGGCCTCAGTGATAAGAATAGCTAACATTTTCTAAGCACTATTTTAATAGTTTTATAAATATTTCATCATTTAATCCTCACAACAGCCCTACCAGATAAGTGGTAGTATTATCCTCATTTTATAGATAGTAAGACTGAGTCACAGTTAAGCAGCTTGCCTATGGTCACAGCTGGTAAGCAGCAGGGTCAGGTTTGGAGCCAGGCATTCTGACTCCAGAGTTTGCATGTTTAATCCCTACACAATACTGCATCCCTCAGTGGAAAAAGAGTTCTGATGAGTATGTCCGCCTGAAGGGGCCAGTAGTTGAGGCGGTACACAGAGATTGTCTTGAATACTTGAATGTGTTCCAACAGTGCTTAAGGATTTGCCATCACTGTTCAAGATCTTCCAATACGGTCACCAGATTTAGCAAACAAAAATACAGAATTCCCAGTTAGGTTTGAATTTCAGATAAAGAACAAATAATGTTTAGTATGTCTCACATATTGCACAAGACATACTTATACTCAAAATTATTCATTGTTATTGGTCAAAATGTACAAAATTCCAAATTTATTTATAAAATAAATGTCATGAGGATGTAATATACAGCACAGTGACTATAGTTAATAATATTGTATTGCATATTTGAAAGTTGCTAAGAGAGTAGATCTTTAAGGTCCTTATCACAAGAAAAAAATCTAGGAACTATGTATGGTGACAGATATTAAATAGACTTATTGTAATGATCATTTTGCCATATATACAAATATTGAATCACTGTGTTGTACACCTGGAACTAATATATGTCAATTTTACCTCAATTTAAAAAAGATGAGGAAACATAAAAGCAAAAGAAGCTGTAAATCAAAAGATTAAGAGATATAGTTACATTTAAAACTTTTAATTTGATACATAAAAAATACATGAATACTAAAAAGAAATACAAAATAGGCCATCAGGGCTTCCCTGGTGGCGCAGTGGTTAAGAATTCGCCTGCCAATGCAGGGGACAGGGGTTCGATCCCTGGCCCAGGAAGATCCCACATGCTGCAGAGCAACTAAGCCCATGCACCACAACTACTGAGCCTGCGCTCTAGAGCCCGCGTGCCACAAGTACTGAAGCCGGTGTGCCTAGAGCCCATGCTCTGCAACAAGAGAAGCCACAACAGTGAGAAGCCCACGCACCGCAACAAAGAGTAGCCACCACTCGCTGCAACTAGAGAAAGCCTGCACACAGCAACAAAGACCCAACACAGCCAAAAATAAAAACAGATTAAAAAAAAAAAAAAGGCCATCAATATGACAAATAAAAGTTCAACATTAAGAATTAATAAAATGAATGAAAATTAAAACAAAAAAAGAAGTTATTCATTGGCTGTCTGGAATTCAGATTTAACTAAGCATCCTGTGTTTCATCTGGTATTCCTGTTCCTGAAAGAGAAGAGAATGGCAAACCACTTCACTTTATTCTTACCTTAAGCAAAGGTAAGGATCTTTTGCACAATGGCAGAGTTGAACAGTTGCGATGAAGACTGTATGGCCCACAAAGTCTAAGATACTAACCATCTAGCTATTTACAGAAAAAGTCTGCCAAACCCTGCTTTAGCCAGTTTCTCATTCATTATGGGTAATAAACAAGTTGTGATTGGCAGTGTACCAAATTGTAGTTCTAATGCAGTAAACTGGCCCTTTTGTCTCCCCCTGCTGCACAGCTAGCCTCTTGAATGATGTTTTGGCCCAGCAGTCAACAGAGTTGATGGCCTCCTTTGCAAAGTTTGAATCTAGAACCTCAAATGCTTTTTCTTGAGGAGCCACAATCCAAAAACCTGCCTCTGTGTTTGTTTAGAAAAGACAGGTACAACTGAGCAACTAGAACAAGGTTCATCTTAATGAACTTCCCCTCCGCCAGCCAGAACCCTTCCTTCCAGATCCTTGTTGCCTTGCCAATGAGAGCCCCTGACTAGCAAAACCATTTGATTCTTCTTGTTTTCAGAGACATGGGCCCTCAAACACATTGTACCACTTGGTCAGGGATGTCAAAAAGGTAAGAACCCTCTCGACTGCAGGTCGGAGGCCCTGTCTTGACTGCTTCCTGTGATTAGAAAGTGCCTGTTTTGCATGAGCTGCCAGAGTATTCCTGTCCCTGCCAGACCCCCTCATTTCAGGACACAGTGTGTGTCTATGTCTTTTAACTTTGACATCTCTGCTTATGATGCAGCTGCGGTTTTATCGCCAGTCTCCATGGTTTTAGATGCTTTCATTGGACATAATGCTTTCGGGTAGTGGAACCCTAGGCTTCCCTCCCATGCCGTGTGGATTTATGCCATTACCTGTATTTTTCCATGTGCTCCTCACTATTTGGGGAGCTCGTTTCCATGCTATCCAACTGACCATGAAAGGTATATTTATTTACTAGCTCCTGATACAGTGTATCACTGCCACATCTAGCATGACACAGAGCATATAGTAAGCATAGCTCAAAAAGTCTCAGAGAAACAGAGACTACAACATATACATACATTCCATTCTGCTAACACTTTATTTTCTCCAATATATTTTTTCACATTCACCATCAAATTTGATGGGGGAAAAAGCCAGTTGGTTTGGATCTAGTATATTTATGCCCAATTTAAAAATGAGGCGGTTGAAACACAGGGAGGTGAGAACTGTACTGAGTGGTTAGTAAGGAGCTAGAATTAGAACTCAAATCCTTTAATAATCATAATCATAAGTAATGGTACCTAGGATTTAGTGATGACTAGGTATGTGACACTAATCCTTCTATGTGTCTTAGCTCATTTCATCTTCACAACAAATATATGAAGTAGAGTTATTATTTTATTTTTTTTTTTACTATATAGTGTTATTCCCATTTATAGATGAGAAAAATGAGGCAAAGAGAGGTTACATTTAATCTTAACCAAGTGCTTGTTCTGCCCCATACAATCTCTTTCTGAGGTAGCTTCAGTTCTGAACCCTTGGCAGGGTTCCCAGAAAGTGATGTTTTAACACCAAAGGATAAAATAAATGGTGACACTTCCCCTACCACATACACATGTACACACGCACACACATACACAGGTATACCCACCTACCAGTTGGTAGCAATTCTTTGCCAAATTCCATAGGACATAACTCGGAGAAAGCTACAAAGTGAGGTAAAAAGTAGAGTGCCATTCCTTCGTCTCATAGGAAGTCATAGGCTAGAACTACCCTTTAGGTGTCCTGTAGGCACTTACTAATTTTTCCTTCGAAAGGCCCTGGGGCTGATTATAATGTACCTATTAACCAGATGGACCTTTGCTGATAATGAGTAAAGAGTACTAAAAAACCTCCTTCTGTAGGCCCTTGGGAACTTTACTCCCATCTCTGTACAACCTTACTGAAAAATTTCTCATCCATGTGCGTGAGTGAAGCCTGTAGTTCTTTCAAAGCAAGGGAAATAGATGCTCTGCCATCTGTATATTTTACCAAGATCACACCTTTCCGTGGTCTGCCTCATTTCAAGCCATAAACATACCTGCCCTCAACAAACTCACTTCTCTTTTCCTCAAGTCTTCCTATTTTGTTTAATTTATCTTGGCATAAAATTTCCTGGAAACTCAACAGAAGTATCTCAGAAGATTAGATGTACACACCCAGCATGTATTCTTCGCCAAGTTTTGCTCATGTTCAAAACTCAAAATGTTTTGAGTTTTTCTAAAATAATAAGTAAAATATCCCCCTCACCTTAATCTAGTCTGTGTCACTGAAGGAATTATGAGGCTTTCTGAAGAGACAGCTGTGTGCCTTTGTCCCTTAGTCCCAGCCACTGGGCAGGCCGAGCTTTCATAAAAGTCACTCATCTACTTCCATCACCAAGCTTCTCAATGTCTTGCCTGATTTTCAAAGAGATTTTTGCAGTTAGATTTTAATGAATATAAATGATTGAAATCCCTCCTAATAGGTTCTCTTCCTCGTAGGACTTTGCTTTGCATATCATTTTCTTTTTTCTGAAGTTCCATTAGCTGCCTCTCACATTTGCTTACATTTAGTGGAAGGCATGTAGAGTATTTTTAAGGTAGGGTTTTCTTTAACTTCTTAGCTAAAGGTATACCTCAAAAATAATATAGACTAACAAGACAAGACAGGATGGTAAGAATTTGGGAGGACTATCAGTTAGGAGCAGTTTTATTTTTCTTTCAAGTGTGATCCAAATACCAGAGCAAGAATATAGTTATACGAGGATTCATCTACTTACTAATTTAGTAGCGGGAAAAAAATAACAAATCACTCAGGATAGTACTGAAATGGCTTAGGAAAAATTTATCCTTTTTCTTGAGAAAAGAGACTGCCAATATGGTTGGGAGAAACAAAAGCCTATGTTTAGTTTCTTCCCTTGGGAAGAAATAGGGGCAGGAAATGCAGACTCCATTTATTTCTATGATAAAGATGAGTGTCTGACTATTGGAGAGCAAGAAAGAATAACAATGGTAGCCAAAGGAGCTGTAAGTGTCTATGTTTTATGGATGAAAGTAGCTAAAAATGAGATTTTTTTGTTTGTGTTTTTGTTAAGAAGTGAATGAGAGAGAAATTAATATTGGTAAACATCTTCCTCATAGTTTATGCCAATAAGATATGCAAAATCTACAAAAACTAGGTTTAAAATGCTAAGAAAATCTTGGGCAGTTTAAACAGTTTTCAAAATTAAGGAACATAATAATTAGCATGTGCTTTGTGCTTTATGGTTATAGGACTTTATGTACATATTAATTGATTTAATCTATGACAAAAATGAATCAGTAAGTGATAAGCCCTAGTATGAAATGAATGCTGTTCAAAAATTAGAAACACAGTTCGGGACCTTAAACGTAGTGTTTGATAATATGTCTGTAAAATAAAATGTAAATAACTTATGAACCCAGAGAATGCATTTAGGAATTATCAGACCATCATTAAGTTAACCAGCATATCTCCAAGTCCAACTATCCTTTGAAACCAACAGAACTGAACGTGGAGAATTACTCCCAAGCTAGTTTCAAAATCTTAAATTATTTATATCAAGGGAGCAATCTAGGAGCAATGAGGTAGAGTTAGTATCAATCAGAAATTTAAAACATCAGCCAACCCAGTTCCCTGAACCTTTCTCGTGCATAAATCCATTGGATGTACCAATGCTCTCATATTAAACCAGAGTGGCCTGAGTCTGTCCGCTTTTCCATGAAATCTAACTTGCCATTTTAGTAACTAACTGTCTGCTCAATTTGTGCCTCTGTATGTTTTAAAGTAGTAGTTTTTCTTTCTTAAATTAAATGTACTAATACTTCAGATTGCCTCAATTATCCCTCCCCACCAAAGAAAAGTGATATCTGAGTATTATGTAAGAGTAGTGGTGAAATTATGGTAACTTAAAATTCAGTTATATGGGAATTAAGACCCAGAGCTTTGCCGAATTTTAAAGAAAAAGCATTTCGGACACACTTTGGGGAAAAAAAGGACATTTTCATAACTCCATCTGCTAAATTCATGCAAATTTGCAAAATTCTTAATTTTTAAAAGATTGGTTGCCCAGTCTACTGCCATGCCAAACACTGAGGGAATGTCCTCTTTTCCCATGATTTTTCACCAGGTTGGTCTTTTCCCCACTCTCCCTTGGTAAATCTTACAACCAGCTATCATTTTATACCTTGCATACATCAGAAGGAAACAGTATTCTTTGAAGGCTTGTTATGAGTTTCAAAGAAAAAAAAAGTTTCCTAAACAGCTGAAATCTGATAGTGATATCATGAGCTGACATCTGAAAAACAGAGTGCATTTAGAAGAGCAGATCTAATAAATGAATTTAAGTTATTCCTTTTTAATTAAAAGACATCCTTAGGCATGGCATGGATTAAAATTTAGCCTCAGAGTAGTATCTCATGGCATGAAAAAAAAAAGAAAACAATGTTTTCAAGTTGTAAAATTTACCTACCCATGGATCCAAGCCTCTATTTTACTCTGTGGATCAAATTATTTTAATCCTGTGGCTTGCTATGTGTTGTTAAGGCATGAAATAGGAAATAGATGTTCAGACTTTACCAGTTACCAAAGTAATCACCAAAAAAGGGGAGCAGGGAATAACAGAAACAGCAGGCAGAATGAATATTACTCCAGTATATTGACTTCCTATTCGAAAAGGAGACAAGCAAAGGAAGACTCCTCCAGAGGCTTTTGGACATTACCTGTGGAATATGAGGAGGCATTTTTCTCTGCTTTTTTTTTTAAAGGAGGTGGATGTTATGAGCACAAGCCCATCCCTGTCTAACCCTTTACCCTCCCTTTTCTCTAAGCCTCCATCTCTACTAACCAAATTCCAGCAGATTATTAGAAACTGCATCAACTCTGGAAGCTCTGGACAGGAGTCTTTGCCCAGTGACCTGGCAGCATAGAAATAAGAGCAGCCTTCCAGGTAGTGATCAAAAAACTGGACCTTTAGAAACAAACAGGACCTTAGAAGTAACTATGTCCACATTGCCTGTTTTCAGAGCATGAATTGAAGTACAGAGAGAGAACCCTCATTGCCTTGTATTAGGTGACCATCGCCCCCTTGTAGTCAAACAGAAATCAGGCCAGTTCCTTTCAGGCCATCACTCAAAGCTCAGTAACCCAGAATGGTCACAGAATCTTTTCTCCTCCTTCAGACCAGATCATACAAAAATCACTCCGAAATAATCAAGCTTTATATAAGAAATTTCTAGGAAAAGAAGATTCTAGCACCTTCTTTGGTAGTATGTTAACCTATCAGCCCTTTATGAATTTGCATAAAATTTTGCAAAACAATGTTGCCAATGTTTGCAGAACATTTGCAAAAGTTGTTGCCCCTCTAAAATTTTTGTTTATTTTGAATTTTACTATTATCACTTTCCTGACAACCCACGCTTACAGAGACCTCAAAAGCATAAATATTGCCATTCAGTATTGGTCTTCAGGCAATATTGGTTCTTGTTCTTAGAATTCAAACTGATGTTCACACATAGGTTTCTCAAAAGGAAATATACAGGTGTTAGGCTCACTATTACCCACGTTTTAAATTTGGAAAATTGTTACAAGACTAAAAGTAGGCATTCAATTCAAATTCATAGACCCACTATGATTGTTGTTCAGTAGCATCACAATAAACCTTTTGGGGATTTTTCTGAAACCTGGTACTTGAGCATTACAAACCATAAAGGGCATGGAGTTCAGCCCCTTTTACTGGGAAGAAAACTGAGGCCTTGAGGGAAAGTGGATGATTTGTGAAGGATGGACAGAGTCCAGAGCAACTGACTCGCAGCCAGTGCTCTTTCCCCTGCCAGCTTCACAGTGCCAAGGAAAATAGCACAGCTGGGGTGAGCCTCCTCTGGAGGTCATCCGTGTAGGAGCCAAATGCACAGGAGATGAGGCTGACCCAGATGTGCCCAGAGAAGCTCTAGGGCTCTTCTACTCTTGGAATAATAGCCTCGCCTAACCGTCCAGTAAGAGCCAGACAATACAGAAAGTGCAGTCTTGTTAACCTGCCCAAAATAATGGAGAAAAAGTGTTGCACAGGTAATATTTTTAGATTCAGTTTAAGGTTTATGGAAAGGACAATACATAAAAAGTTACTACCTTAAAATAAATCTTTCTCTAAGTTCCCTTTTAAAGAAGTCAGACAATTGGTCTTTCTTGATAACCAGAGGCTAACTGGGGCTTTCCCACCCAGGAGTGACTCATAAACTGTAACTAGTTAGTTGTTACTGAGAACATAATACTGAAGAACCCCAAACTGAGGCTTGATCCCAAATACATTGATTAATTTCAGTGTTTTACTTATTCACATTTTTGACCAAAAAAAAAAATATATTGAATGCCTACCATACACCGGGCATTGGGAAGATAAATAAAACAATTAAAAATATGAAGCTATATGTTTGATGGCAGGATACAGTGGGCCACCTGTAATCCTGAATCCCTTTCAAGTGATTGCTGTTGACCATAGGAAAGCTGATAAGGATAACTGAAAACCTACCTTCAGTTAATAAAACTACATAAGCTAATTTCCTAGAGATAATGATATCTTCATATACTATGAATTTCCCAATTCTGCTGTGTAATCCCACCTGAACTTTACTTAGTAGACGTCAGAATCACCTGGACAGCTCATAAAGTGCATAGAGTCTCATACTCGAAGCAGGATAGGGTCCAGACCTTTGCATTGTCACCAAGTGCCTCAGGTGGTTCAGATGCCACAAAGTTGGAAAACCACCACTATTATAAGCCACTTCTGTGAAGTGGCAGGAATCTCACACAGCATCCTGGATGGATCCTCCATTAAAGACAAACCCCAAAGTGGACAAAGCCCTCAGGTCCCTCCAAAATGTATCTAAGAATGCAGTGTGCCAGGCTTCCAACACGGTGTGGTACCCCTGCCATTCATGGTATAGAGCACACTTCTGCATCAGGGAACTAAACCAGACAGTGAGACTTGATCATTTGTTCCCCTTGGAACTCACTGTGAGCTCAGAATTTCCCACAAACAGAACTAATTCTTCCTTGACCTAACAAAGCAAGGATTTTCCTCAGACCCTATAGAGCTCCCTTTTGAAGCAGAAACCAGTAATGAGCAGATAATAATAAAAACGCTTGTTTTTGCATCTATATGTACAACATTAAACTTATACCATAGCTCTAGGTACTTAAGAAGCACTATTCTCTGAAAGAAAATGTGAAAAACCTCTTTAATTCTGAGAAAATAAATATTCTGTTGATAAAACTTCTCTTATTTCACCCCTCTTTCTCTTTAAACACAGGGGATGTTCATAAAGGACTTTGTCATCACATCCATCTTGCTGTCCTTTTATTAAAAAGGTGCCAATTCTTAAAAAAGTTTAATAGAAGTTTTGTATAAAGGATATTTGAGCTCTCAGCATATTTCACCTGATGCAGTCCCTGGTAATCACAATCATCTTCTGGATGGAGTCTTCATTTAGTGAGTGTGAAGAAATAAATGATCAGCAAGGGGACAGTAACAGGCCTAGGTCAGAGGCAGAGCAGCGAGGGGGTCCAGGGGGAGTATCTGAGGAACATAGTTCCTAGTGGCTGGGAGTGGTAGAATTTGCCATATCTAGCCTTGTGTTTCTTTCTGCTACACTGGTGTTTTTTTCTCCCCAGCTGAAGACTTGAATAAATATTTTGATTTTCTGTTATTGCCGACGATTACTGCATCTTCTTATTTAACTTATGTCTTCTTTCCAAGCGAGAATATCCAGGTTTCGGTTGGATCTATTTTAAGGTGAATTGATTAACCAGAATAATAATACATTCATATGTTTCTTTTTAAATTATTATTATTATTATTTTACTCTAAAATAGTTACAGAACACATGGAATAGAATCCCTAGTAAACCATGCTGTCTTTTGGATGTGTCTGTTTGTTCCATTCTTCCGTGATAGGGGAACCTGCCCCCAGACTACAGAATCAGCCTGATAGACATCGGCCTGGTGATCGAGTACCTGATGGGAGGGGCTTATCGCTGCAACTACACGCGCAAGCGCTTCCGGACGCTCTACCACAATCTCTTTGGCCCCAAGAGGGTGAGGTTGGCAGCAAATTCCATTTCCTGGACTCTGGGGAGGACTAGTGTGCAGTAGATTTGGAGTGTGGCTGCTTTGTCATCTCCAAGGGGGAGATCAGATGACAAGGCAATTGCCCTGCCTCTTCTTCCCTCTGCCATCAAATCTGTTTAGAAAAGAAAAAAGAAAAAAAGGAATATACTGGGTGTTACACTTCTTTCTTTTTCTCACTAGATCCAATTCAAACCAGAAACTGGCATTGAAAGTGAACCTTTTTTAGCTTTTCTACATGCTATGAATTGAGATGACATGCTCAACTTCTAAATAAGTCATTTTGTATATTAAAAAAGTAATTTTTCTCATTTTAAAAAAAGTGAACCTTGGGCTTCCCTGGTGGTGCAGTGGTTGAGAGTCTGCCTGCCGATGCAGGGGACACGGGGTCGTGCCCCGGTCCGGGAAGATCTCACATGCTGCGGAGTGGCTGGGCCCGTGAGCCATGGCTGCTGAGCCTGCGCGTCCGGAGCCTGTGCTCCACAACGGGAGAGGCCACGACAGTGAGAGGCCCGCGTACCGCAAAAAAAAAAAAGTGAACCTTAATGATCAGAGAATAGTAATTATATTCAAATAATCTTACTATCTACCACATCACTTTTCAAGGTTTTTGCTCTTGGGATCTATTTATAAAAAATTATTGAGGACCCCCCCCCCAAAGCTTTTTATCTGTATGAGTTCCATCTTGTTCTATAATTTGCTGAGTTGCCTTCTCTTCCGTCTTGGTCTGTGCCTGTTTTGCACATCCCCAGCATCACCAATGGTGCTACTGTGTGTGCTTACACTTTCCATGCCATTGAGTGCCTTTTGCCGTCAGCACATGCCCCTCTGGTCCCACTCACCCTTGCTCTACTGGACAGCAGCAAAGAGAGACAGCCAGCGTGAAGCATCTCAACATATAGTATTTCTGAATAATATCCCAAGTCTCCAGATAATAGAGGTCTTTCAGAGGTTTGGGAAACATCTCATAGTTTGACTGAATGTCTCATTGTTCACTCAAGTGCTTGATGTCATGGAGAGGTCGGCCTAGCGGGATGGTTTTAGGATGATGGAAGAAATCTTGGTCCACAAAAGAGATTATAAACCTGCAGGCTCTACCCTTGGGCAGTCTCATTATGCCTCTCCAGTTTCCTAATTTTCTGTAATTCACCAAAATCACTAAATCCCTAATTCTCTTAGAATTTCTATAAAGAGTTTCCCCTGTGGTGTTTTATTTAGTGAAATGAATAAATGCTGTATGGTACAATAGATTTGTTCCATTACCTGTTTAAGATACATTAGGATTCTTTTCTTACCTCTATAAAGAAATCTAACTTTGTGCATAACATTTTTTTTTAACAGCCCAAAGCCTTGAAACTGCTGGGAATGGAAGTAAGTGTTTGCTCAAATTATTAGTGTCAATTGTTTATTCTCTTTATTACACATTTCAAAATATATATATAAGGTCATTCCAGTGGTAGGGCTTAGTACATGATTCTAAAATAAGGAGGTGAAATTTTTTCCAGTGTCGAGGGGACAGGTCACAGTAGCTTTGAAAATTCTATCATGGGGTTATATTAGCATTGCAAACAAAAAAATAAATCCTATTTGAAATACTGACTTGAAAACCAAGAAAGCATATAAATTCCAGTAAGTGAAATCTATTCATGGGTGTTTACAAATGGCAACAGATCCAAAGACCAGAAATTCTTCACAAATGCATCTAATGAAGTATTCAGAAACTCAAGATAGATTATCTGTCTCCCATCTTCTGTTCATGTGGTTATTATCGTATATCCAATTGCAAGTATAGGATGTCCTTGTCCTTTCAGTGGAAAGGGTAGTGCTGTCCATCATGAGGTACAAATAACCCTACTTGTAGAGGAAAAGAATGGACAAAAGTTAAAAAAAAAAAAAAGCCCATTAAAAAATACTGTTCTAAAATTAAAGTATAACACTGACATGTTCCCATAGGACTGTGCTTATGCATTTATTATAACTTGTTTTAAAGTTAGGCATTCAGGGGCTTGTGAGTTCTTTTAGAATAGAAGCTAGGAAAAGACAGTTCATTTTTTCTGTATCTATCCCAGAGCTGGGCCAGTAGTAGACATACAAGAACTATTTACTGAATTGAGTGGATTTATTTCTAACTCCATCTCTGTGTTTTTTCCCTAAAATTACAGGATGATGTTCCCTTGAGGCGAGGAAGAAAGACAACCAAGAAGCGTGAAGAAGAGGTGGACATTGACTTGGATGACCCTGAGATCAACCACTTCCCTTTCCCTTTTCATGAGCTGATGGTGTGGGCCGTCCTGATGAAGCGGCAGAAGATGGCGCTGTTCTTCTGGCAGCACGGCGAGGAGGCCATGGCCAAGGCCTTGGTGGCCTGTAAGCTCTGCAAAGCCATGGCCCACGAGGCTTCCGAGAATGACATGGTTGATGACATCTCCCAGGAGCTGAACCACAACTCCAGGTTGGACGACCTAGCAAATGGCGTGGTCAGGGGAGGAGAAGGGAAGGTGGTCCCCAGGTACAGGTTTCTTGAGCTATCCAGTACTTCAGGGGAGACAGGATCAACCCAATGGTGCACACAGAGGGCGGGCACAAACAGTTAACATTTACAGTGCACAGTGCTAGATACAGAGGTGCATACAGATACATAGATTTCATTTCATCCTCTCAACTGCTGCAAGAGGTAGGTCCCTTATGATGCCTACTTTACACCTGAAGAAAATGAGACTCAGAGAATTTAAGTAACCTGTCCAAGATCACACACTTGTGGTTGACAAGGCCCAGCTCTGAACTGAGGTCTGTCACGTTTAAGAAGACATACTGCACTCTGAGTTTTGGGTCTGCCTTCCACATCCATATGCCTTGAACCGGGGGCCTTGAGTGCAGGGATTGTGCTTCATTTGACTTACACCCCCAGTTCTAAACATGGTATCTGGCACACAGTAGATGCTTAATGGGTGTTGGCTGAATGAATGAATGAACAGACTAGACCCCATAAGGAACAACTAGACCACTCAGCGACCACCCTTTGTGGCTTGGCCAGTGGGTCCCCACTTTCATCATCTAAGTCTCCAAGATGGCCAAAAGACCGTTCCTCACATTCTCTCATTCAGGGACTTTGGCCAACTGGCCGTGGAGCTCCTGGACCAGTCCTACAAGCAGGATGAGCAGCTGGCCATGAAACTGCTGACGTATGAGCTGAAGAACTGGAGCAACGCCACATGCCTGCAGCTTGCGGTAGCTGCCAAGCACCGTGACTTCATCGCACACACATGCAGCCAGATGTTGCTCACGGACATGTGGATGGGTCGGCTCCGGATGCGCAAGAACTCAGGCCTCAAGGTCAGTGAGTCCAGAAGGCCCTGTTGGCTATGAGGGCCAGAGGGCTGGTGAGAGCTTTCCAAGCCAAATCTGCAATGGTAGTGGGCATTCTCTTAACTCGGGAGGGTGGTTCTAAGCCCCAACTGTGCATCAGAATCTTCTGTATAATGGGTTGTTTTTTTGAATACAGAGACGAGGGCCTACCCCAAGTTCTGCTAAATCAGAACCTTTAGAGATGGCATGCCTAGACAGTAATATTCTCAGAAGATCCAAGGTGTTGGTCATACAGAGCTACAACAGGAGGTATTATTTGCTCTGTCACAAGCCATGCTGCACCAGGAGACACTTACTTAGGCAACCTTTCACCTCCATGTGAGCCTGAACGCCTTGGCCCCTCCTTGGCACCATAAAGAGACATTGGCTCTTACCAGCTGTACTTTAGAAATTTTTTAAATGAAATAAAAATGAGATAGATTTATATGTAAAGATGTTGCTAGATAATCCTGATCTATTCTTCATTGAAGGAAAACAAGTTGCAGACCAATAGGTAGAGCCTGAGTCCATTTCTTTGTTTTTTTTAAAGCATGTACCTGTATAGTTCTATTTGTACAACTTCATTTTTTTGTTAAAAAAATAGAAGGGATACACAGTAAATTGTTTATAGTGGTTATCCCTGGGGTTGAGAGTATAAGAAATAGGATAATAAGTGGCTTTTGATTTTTTGTTTTCTTCAGTGTTTTACAAGCAAAACATTAAACTGAGAGAATTTTTTAAAAGACCAAAAAAATGGGAAGGGAAGACGGAAAGAATGTTTTAAAATGCTTTATCTGTTTAGAGTCTGTGGCTGTTACAACTGAAGCCAGCCAGGCTTATACTTACCTAGAACTACCTGCTCTAGGTAACTCTGAGGTCAGCCCAAAACAAAAGGGCCACCAGGCCAGAGCAATCTGCTGAGGCCACCCTGACTGAACCAGCAACCCTCCCCCACTCCACCCTTTCCGTGGGCTCTTGGCCCAGAGTCACAGAAGGGTTCCATGAAGTGGGTCATGGGCATTCCATCACTACGCTGCAAACAATGCCAAGCCTGGCTCTCAGCTCTGAGGACAGGGTGTCATGTCCCCTGAAGACTGCCAGGCATGCCACCTGAGCGTTCCCAGGCCTGCCAGGCACCCTTAGTCAGGGTCACCACTCTCCCCTTTCCCTTAGCTGCTCTCAAGTCCCTGGGCACTCGAGCACAGACTGTCCCTGCCTCATTACTTGAGGATCATTTTTACTTATCCTTCATGGCCTCTCTTAGTCCCTCACCTTGGTATACTTTCTTCGGGGAGGGTTGTATTCAGAAGCCTTGTACACAGAACCATTTTAGGACTGAGGGAGGAGGTGAGAGAAGATTTAGGAAACACAAATCAGATGTCAGTATTATCATTCAGAAACTTGGTCCCTGGAAATAGAGAATGAAATTATTGCCCTCTCATGAGAAAAGCCAATGAATTTAGTGTCATCACGTGGAGATTTAAGTATGTGGTTTATAATGAGAGAAATACAGTGCTGAGCCTCCTGGGGCATTTTTGCGGAGGGATTCTCATAGTGATACAGAGCCCACGTGTGTGTGTGGGTTTCTGTTGGATAGTAGCAAATGCTGGGGGATGCTCTAAAATGAATAGTTTTCCTACATGGACTTCCTCGAGGTCAACTTAGGACAGTATTTTTTACAGAGATAACCAGATGACACATAATCAATTCCACTTGGCAATTAATAAATAAATGCCAATGGACATAAGTATGAACTGATTTCACAAAGTGCCATCAAGTGACTAAATGGGAATCTGAATTTTTTCCCATTTTTGCCTTGGGTAGAATCTTTTTCCTCTGTTTCCCTCATGCAAAGTAGGTGTTAATTGGATAAGATGTATTTGGGTAAGATGCTTTGTTTCCCCAAGATCAGACTGAGCTACTGTGAGTTAACAGTTAACAGTTCCCAGTCACATGGGCAGAAGTGACCCTCTTAGCATGGATGTTGTTAGTTATTCAGATATGCAGGTCCCCACTGTGGGCACACCCAACACTCTTACACCCTCACATCACACACACACAGACCCCACCCCCCCGGCTCTCTGATTCTAAGCAACCACCCTTATCTGAATCCTTTAAATGTGATTATTATTATTATCATTATTATTACTTTAGGTAATTCTGGGAATTCTACTTCCTCCTTCAATTCTCAGCTTGGAGTTCAAGAACAAAGATGACATGCCCTATATGACTCAGGCCCAGGAAATTCACCTCCAAGAGAAGGAGCAAGAAGAACCAGAGAAGCCCACGAAGGAAAAAGACGAAGAGGACATGGAGCTGACAGTAAGAAAAAAACTATTCAGTTATTGTCAGAGGGGAGAACCCCTAATCCACCTCTCCCATGGATATGGCTTAAGATTTAATAACTCTTGAGGTCAGCTTCCCACCAGGCACTTTCATTTAAGTATTGAGACCAGGTTATTACAAAAGTGTCCTCTCGGGGACTTCCCTGGTTGTCCAATGGTTAAGACTGTGCTTCCAATGCAGGGGGAACGGGTTTGATCCCTGGTCGGGGAACTAATAAGGTCCCACATGCCGCATGGTCAGCCAAGAAAAAATAAGTGTCCTCTCTGTGCACAAATAACATAACTAAAGGGACTGATTCTAATCCTTCAGCCAGGTAAGTGGCACTCAACAACCCAATGAAATTCAGAAGCAAGACACCCTGAATTTTCCAAACAGGCGATACTTTATAAACAACAGGTGATGTGGCAGTCTTAGCACACGAGGAAGGAAAGGGAATCTGATTTGGGAGCAGCTGGCTCCACTGAGCTGGAGTCGTTGTGCTGATCAGAAGCTAAGCCTTTATCTGTCTTCGAGGTCAGGCTCACAAATACAGCACTAATTGAATTTTGGGGTTTGTATGGAAGGCTTTTATTAGCTCTTCCTGGTATAATTATAGAGCATGGATGGTTTGTTCTGTAGGGGGAATGGGGCAGCTGGGCATGGGACAGCTTCCTGCAACCCCTGCTGGAGCAGCATGACTACCACTGGATTGTATCCAAAGTCTAAAAACATCACATGCTATTAAAGGGACAAACAAGGCTTCAGAGCTTTGGAGACATAAGGCAACAGCTCCACAGGACTTCCTGGATACCCCCCACCCTCCCCACCACCCTGACCAATTACCGTGACGAGCCAGAAGAAGCTGTTTGGGGAAAAAACAAAAATTGGTTTTGCTCAGGTGGCAAAAGGCCTTGGCATTATTATCCTAAGTGGGACCACCCTGCGAATTGATTTTCCTCCAGATAAACACTATTTCCTTCAGTAGGTCCTTCCTAAAGATCTCTCTGCAGGCACATTCCCAGACCCAAGTACAACAGGGGCTATGCATCGGGCCACTCTTTGGATTGATTAATCATTCACTACTTTTGACTCACTGAGTTCAAGTCCTGTGTTTGCTTTCAGTTTCAGGATCCTTATATAAATTAGTGGAGGGGTCTGCTTTCCTCTATGACAGGATCGAATGACTGTCTTGCCTAAAGAACTTACCATAATTTTTGCCTCTGAACCCCTTCAAGGATAGGAAATGATATTTTGATCATTAGCAGAAACGTTGGTAGTAGTAATACCAAATCTTTATTGAATGCTTCAGCAGAGGGGTAAAGAGTGTGCGCTCTGGAGCCAGAATCCTGCCCTGTCACCTACTCACTGTGGGACCTTGGGCACAGTTTCTTAACCTCTAACATGGGAATAATGACATTATTATTATTACTAGCTCACAGGTACATGTAAACGATGTAACAAGTGTACATGTAACTAATGTAGACTGGTGCCTAGCACATGGTAAATGTTTGCTAATATTGCTATAATGATGCTAAATGTTTAACTGTACACTTACTCATGGAATCCTCACAACAAGCCCACAAGGTAGGTACTATTATTATACCATTTTATAGATGAGGAAGCTGAGACTCAAGAGAGGTTAAATGGTCCAAGGTCACCCACCTAATTAGTTGCAAAGCCGGGATTAGAACCCAGGCATGCAGACTCCACTGGCCATGCTTTTACCTGATAAAGCTAAGGGATGCAAAGAATTTCTTCCTAGTCTCAAATGTAGGAGCTCAGCTGGTTTGGTCCACCACGTAGTAGAAAGAATCCAGTAGGGATGCATGGGCCTCCTGTGTCAAGTATGGCATGGCCTTGACATTGGTGTACATCCTAGGAAGGCTCAAAGAAGGAACCTAGGAAGGTAGCCAGAAGCTAAAGCAGTATTCTTTCTGGTTGGGTCTGAAGGAAGATAACAAAAGAGGCAGCTGCCTCTCCTGCTCAGTCCAGAGTTTTGAGGATCTGATCTTTCAAGAAGCCACAATAAAAGATGCATCTCTGGACTAAGAGCAAAGTTTACTTCCCAAAGAATAGCCCCTGCCGTTGTCTACTGAGAACCCAAGTAGAAGACACCACACAGCATTACTGCCTGAGCTGATTCTCCACAGGCTGAAACCGCAGGGAGAAGGAAAGGAAGGAAAGGGCTTATGGGCTGGCAAAGTCAGGGTTGGACAGCACTTGTTTTTAAGGTGGCACTTTCTTTGACCCTAATGACAAATTCTGTTACTGCTGGACCACTGGTCTCAGCTCACCCCACACAGGATTGGAGAATACAACTTGTTGACAACTCCACTCCCTTCATAGCATTGATATTTGAGCTTCTGTGTTAAACCAATATATCCTCTCTTGGAATGGAACATTTTCCTTGGCCCTTCCAAAATTATACATGAAATATCAGCCTCAGTTTGCTTCACTTTAGTAGCCTTTAATAGCTTAGCTCACCTCAAAGGATCTTTCCCAGACTTGACATCTGTGTCTAGCTGGCAAAGATTCTGAAATCCATATTGTGCAGTCATGTCTGTATTTGACCCTGTTACAATCTGCTTTAAGAAATGTAGGCTAAGGAAATGTTTGACTACTGGGAAAAGAAATCAACAAAATCAGCAAGTTACGCTGCTTAAGCTGGAATTAATGAAATGTCAAAAATGCTTTACTTAAACCATGAAAGACAAGCCTCCTAAAAATGCACTCACTTTGAAATACTTTTGAACAATAAAGGCAAAATAGATGGTTCTGTTTTTCACTTTGTTTTACCTGCCTTGCTAGGTAAGTGTCTTGAATTTTTCCTAATAAAGCCTCAACACATCCAGAGACCCAGGGCATTGTTACAACTCTGTTGGGGAAGCCACCGTCCCTAGAGGTTACCCCAAGATGCCATTCTCCAAGATGCCTAAAACCCTCCAAGCTGCCTTTACTCTCATCTAATTGTGTACCCAAATGGTCTTGTATTATTGAGCACATAAATAAGCAGAATAGAAGTAGGATAATTATTTTACATATATTATAAATTATAGAAGAGAAATATCATGCAACTTCAGTTTCCTGAGATCGATGATCGATATTTATAGAACCCTATTGCTGTCTAGTGTGCTATATCCATCACAAAGATTGACTCAGCTCACTGATCAAAATAAATTCTTAGATAGGCCATGGTATGGAATCTTACCTATTCATTAGTTCAAGGTACTTTTCCAGCCAGAGAGTCCATAAAGGAATGGAAGTTACCCTTTCCCAAAATCCTATGGTTACAGGTAAATCATTTGTTGATTGTTACATATTTGAGTAAAGTGGATATTTGAGGCAATGACAAAAATAGTTGAAACTAATATATGTATATTGTGGGTAAGGTAGTTTGAAACCAGAATTTTCTAGTGGTTGTCTCGGTTATCAACTTCAAGGTAAATTATTTTGGTAATTAGATCTGCAACTTTTAACCCATATTCCTATACTTTTTCTTCTCCCAAATCCTTATCTGTCTTCAGTAGTTATAAGGTTTTACCCTGTTCTCACACTTAATAAAAATTTCATTTCCCAAACATTGTAGAACTAACCTTGCTTAGAACAATATGGAAAGAATTAAAGCCAAGAAATTGTGCTGTAATAGGTGCCTAATATCATACTTTTTTTTTTTCTTGTGAGAGATCCCAACTAGATCATTTCAGTCACGAGTATCCGAGGAAGTCTTAGTTCACTTTAAAGACCAGCTAATCTTTACCGGGCATTTATTACGTTCCAGATGCGGATTGATTTGTAAACCAACCCTCTATCGAGTGCTGTTACTACCCTTATTTTACAGTTAAAGAAACTAAGTCTCAGAGAGGTTAAAATAGTTGCCCAAGGTGCCAGAGAGGTTAAAAGAGTTGCCCAAGGTGCCACAGATTCTAAGTGTCCTGGGTAGGACCCAGTCCCTTTCTGTGTCCGCTTTCTCTCAAGTTCTGCCTTTTTTGTGATGTTTAATTGTTGCCGCTTCTCCTGTCAGAAATGAGGAGGAAATAGTGAATTCTTAAAGAGACCTGTAATAACTTGGGAGATGAGGGCCTTTTCTGGTCAGCCCTGACTTCCAGTCCCATCTGGTTGACTCTGCCATGCAGAGGAAGGCAGTGTGCCCAGGAATCACCAAACTAGCACCAGCAGTAATTCAGGCTTTACAGGGTTTGAAATCAGGGAACCGAGGCATATGCCTAGGAGTTGGGTAGACATTCCTAAGTTCAGGCACTACAGATAACTTAACCTCTTGAATATTCAACACCTTTGGATAAATAAGGTATTACTAGTCCAATTTACCCTTGACTTAAGAGTCGTTAGCATGAGTAGAGAACCCAGACCTGCCTGTTTCACGATATATAAAGGGAGAGAGGGGTTGGGAGGAATGATAGACGCCTGGCCTTTCCAGGTTACGCTCTTTCTGTCTCTCAGAACTCTGGGTATCTTCCAACAGCTCATCTTCCAGAGGTTCCAGGCCGGAAGAGAAGAGAATGGTCAAGAAATATCCCTAAGGCCTTCCGTCCCAGGGAAAGGGTACATAGATTCTATGCATAATGCAAATGCACATTTAGGGAAGGCACAATCTCTGAATCTCTGGGGGCCCTGAACAAAGCTCTTAGGTTCTATGAACACACTTTCCCCATCTATAAAATGAGATACATGTTGAAAACATGTTCTGCAGAACCCTGCTATGATGGTATTGGTTCTCTTCCACTGTAGGCAATGTTGGGACGAAACAACGGGGAGTCCCCCCGGAAGAAGGATGAAGAGGAAGTTCAGAGCAGACACCGGTTAATCCCCCTGGGCAGAAAAATCTATGAATTCTACAATGCACCCATTGTGAAGTTCTGGTTCTACACTGTAAGCATCTTTCCTTTTCTCCTTTTATTAAAGGAGAAAAGGCCACAAAGAGCCAATGTCAGTTTCTCACACACCTGGGTCGTTTCTTCTACAAGTCATTATATAAAGACCGTACAGGCAGGAATAATGGCTCTGTGACCTTGCTTTTTCCTGTAGCTTTGCAAGATTTGTGGAGTTTGTGAGGCAGCTTCCACAGCTTCTACATTTCTCCTCCTTGCAGAAAAGAAAGGAAATGGTAAAAGTGAGAACTAGCAGAATAGAGGTGAGATGAATATGAGTCTAGTCTAGAAGGGAAGTAGAGGTCCTTCTCTAAAACGCTTCCCTTTTCTGGATGGATGAGCAATGGATCAGAGTTGCCCATTTTAGACACCAGCCCTGGGTTTGGGGGAACATTTGGTGGGTAAGGGCTGAGCAGAGTGTTAAAAGGAAAACCACTAAAGATGGGGATCAGAAGTGTGTAATTACTCCCAATCCGGTATGTCATCAAACAACCTTTCTTGCTCTGACACCGTTAAACAACATGCAAACCAAAGCAGCAAAAAACATGCAAAGCAACCTACAATCACAGCAAATACTGTCCAGTAAGCACACCCTGCAAATATTTTCTGCCCACAAGATAAAAGATTATCCCTGAAATAGCCTCCTCATATGGGAGAAATGGCCCGTCTGCCCCTGTTTTTCATGATATTTTAAGCTTAAGGTGAGCTTTGACCCAGGTCGTCTCTGCTGCTTTCCAGCCAACGGTGGAGCTGTGCCAGATGAAAGATAGTGCATCTGTATTTTTGGCCTTTTTCACAACCAGCTCCACACCAGTCACTTGAGTCAGCAACAGGATAATCTGAGTCTGAGGCCAAGATGACACAAATGACCAGATGAGGTCCTTTTTGTGTGGTCCTGTATGCTAACACTCAACGCTGGCTTTAAGCCAGGCTTTCCCAGCCTCTGCACGATTGACATGTGGGGCGGAATAATTCTTTGTTGAGGAGGGCTGTCCATGTGCAGCAGCATCCCCGGCCTCTGTCCACTAGATGCCAGTAGCAGTTTCCAGCCCCCAAGTAGGACAACCAGAATGTCTCCAGACATTGCCAAATGTCTCCTTGTGGGGTAAAACTGCCACAAGTTGAAAACCACTACTTTAAAGTTTGGTCTTCAGAGAGGATGGGAAATTATTAAAATACAAATATCTTTTTAGTGAAGTAAAAATTTAAAGTTTAAATTTATTAACATTAAAAAAAAATCCTTCCCCCCCCAAAAATAACTAAGGCATGCAGAAATCATTTCTGTTTATCTATTGCATGCAGATATACACTATTTTTACCTTGCAGAAAACAACAGAGTGGTGGCAAGCATGGACTTTGGAGTCAGACAGCCTAAGCAGAAATCCTGTCTGGGCCTCTTTATTATTGTGTCACCTTAAGCAAGTTACTTTAGCACTACGTTCCCAGTTTTCTTAAGATGGGGATAGTAATAGTACCTACTTTATAAGGTTTGGTAAAGATTAACTGTGTTAAAATATGTAAAGCACTTAGAACAGGGCCTGGAAAACGAAAGCACAATATAAATGTAACTGTTGTTATTCCTAGGCTGGTCCCATTGCAGAGCAACGGTCAGTGTTTTATTCATCCACCCAGGCAACAATGATAAACTATCATTTATTGAATACCTACCTTTCTCTTATATTAGACTGCTTTAATTGTCTAGGACAGAGCGTGGCAAACTACAGCTCACAGGCCAGACCCAGCCCACTGCCCATTATTGTGGCCCTGAGCTAAGAATGTTTTTTACATTTTTAAAGAGTTGAAATAAAATCTACTGAAGACTAATTTGTGACACGTGAAAACTACATGAAATTAACATGTAACTCATGTGTCCATAAAAGTTTTCCTGGAATACAGCCAAACTCATTCATTTACCTATAGTCTGGGTGCTTTTGTGCTACAACTGTTGAGTTGATTACTTGCGATAGAGACCATCTGGCCCACAAAGCCTTAAAAATTATCTGGTCCTTTACAGAAAATGTTTACAGACTCCTGATCTAGAGCATGAAAGAAACCAGTAGTAGTATCAAGAATTATCTATCACCTTTACAAATAGAATACTAGCATCTCTTACCCTTCCAAGGCATCTCTGTTTTTCTTTGTCTGAGCTCAGTATTAATTTTACTTCCTTGATTCCTCTAGTCCCCATTTACTTAGCTGAGGCAGTTTGTTAGCCAAGAATGTTTTTAAATCACAGATGCCTTGCCAGTGGTTCTGAGCCTTGGCTACGCATTAGAATCACCTGGAGTGCTTAAAGAAAAAAACAACCTGAGTTCTATTTAATCTGTATGTTTATCTACTTAAAAAGATGCCTAGGTTCTTTTCCCAGAGATTCTGTTGACATTGTTCTGGGACACAGCCAGGACATCAGGATATTTCAAAGCTCCCAAGTGGTTGTAATGAGTAGCCAGGGATGAGAACCACTGCCCTAGACAAAGGGCTGAGTTTTCAGCCTGGTATTTCCAAAATTTCCATGATGATAAGGGATTGTGTTAGAAATGCAAATTCCTGGCCCCATCACAGACCCACTAAATGAAATCTCCAGGGAGGAGCCCGAGCGGTTGTGTTTAACAAGCTTCCCAGGTGAGTCTTGTGGTCTGGGAAGCTTGGGGCATACTGCTTTCCTTGTACCATATACTGCAGGTTGTAAGGCTGTCCCTTTGAGAAGTGGGGCCCACGTGTCCAGCTCCCTTCTGCATGGCTGACTGGGTTACCCTCCACAAACCCATCAGACTGGACGCTCCAGTCATGTCTGATTGTGTTTCCACAATGATTTTCAGAAATCCATATGTATTGACAAAGCCTCAAAGAAGTAAATGGAGATGCGGAGTGTCAATCTTTAAAGTCCCCAGAGATGCTTAACAATAAAATGCAGCTTTAGATCAAAGGGCCCATTTGCTTTTGGTTGTGTTTTTTTCTGTAAGAGTAGTTCCCACCTTGATTTCCCAAAATATCCCCTTCTACACTCCCAAGGTTCTGAAAGGTAGGACACACCTCACTTCCACATAACCTCACTTCCATATCTTAGCAAGTTTCCAGAGGAGCAGGTTGAGTCCTCTTCTGTTCCAAGAAGAAAGGAGGCAGGGATCCAACTCGCTCCCAGACCAGTTTGTGGTGAGGGCCTGTTTCAAGTGCCCAGCTGGAGAGTTTGCAAATTCAAGGTGAAAAGTAGTGCCAGGTCAGAGGGCACCGGGTGTGCTCTGCGGTTCTCCAGCAGGAACAGACTCCTTCCTCTACTAACACGATGGGCCCCTCCACGCTCTAGTGGCAGTAGGAAAAGGCCTGGGAAGAAGCAAGGAATGGCCAGGCCCCACCAGGGATCCCCAGGCAGCTTCAGCAGGCTTTGGTGCTTGCATTTCATACTTCAGGAGTCAGGCACCTTGGTTAATGGTAAATTTATAAAAATATATAAGCAAATAAAATACGAATTCTTATCGGATTCCCACTAACTTAAGAATCACAAGGTTCTGTTTCTTTTCAAAGCTATGGCATTCTACACACAGCTTGTTAAAGCTTACAGAATATATATGTGTGTATATATGTGAATATATATTCACACACACACATTAAAGCATGTCATGTTAGGGTTATCTGCGGCAAGGCCCCATGAATGTTAGCAAGTTCTAAGATAGGTTTCTTCCAAGGCAGCATCCAGTCCTCTGTTGTACCACTGAAACATGTTTAAAGCCCTATTTTTGGAAGTCCATATTTTGAGAGTTGTCCCAAAATATTATATTGTAGCTTGTTTATGGAAAGAAAAGCATTGTAGAGTAACTGATTTAAAAAATAGGCAGGAGCTAAAAAGGATGTTCGTGGAGGAGGCATAAGCAATGAGGTCAATTTAAAAAAGAAAAAAGAAGAAGAGAGGTATGAGTAGTTAAGGGGGGTAAAAAGGAAGGAAGGACTGAGGTAAGAGGAGGCGAGAGGCATAGAAGTTTCTTGAAAAAAGAGGTGTATAATAATATCAGTCACCATTCATTGGGCCTTTATACTGTATCAGGAGGTAGATGCATATTCCCCTCCCCCATCCTTCTGAAAGCTCTGCAGGGTCGGTAGCAAACATCTCCATTTCACAGAAGGGAGGCCCAGGCAGGCGAAGTGATTTTACACAAAAAGATACAGCTGGGATGTACTTGAGCCAGGATTTAGATCCAAGTTTCACTGACTTTGCATCTACATTCCTTCCACCAAACACTAGTCCTTCTGCCAAACAAGTACATTAGACCTGTGTTCAGAGGAGAGAGGCAGATTGAAGGAATTATTTAAGTACTAAAATGAAGAGGTTCTGGAAGAGTTGTGTGTGTGTCACTGGGCCTACCTGTGACAAGAGAAGATAATGCTTTGGAATGTTTTGTAATGAACTGAGTAAAATGACAAAACCTGGGCAGTTAACAAGGCCCACCGGAAGCAGTGGAATCTGGTCCAACAAGGAGAAGGAAGCAACTAGAAAGAGAGAAGGATTTCAGGTCAGAAGGAGGCTAAGAGCATATTTCACCATTTATCCACTGAAGTCCTTTCCTTGTGTTTTGTAAAACACAGAACTCACAGGGACTAGAGAGTGGATGCCAGTGTATAATGGTAAACAGGAACCATATGAAACGAATTACACTCTGAACACCATCCTACACGATTTCACATTGAGTAGACTCTTTTCAGGTGAGGTTTTTCACAACATGCTAATGATCCCGAAGCGGGTGGGGTAGGAACTGAGGCATGGTTATAAATGGTGGTCCTTGGGCGGGGCGTATACCAAAGTGAATCTCTCAGGAGGGGGAGGAGGCCTGCTGATCCCCCAGCATCTATGCAGCTGCCCTCTCACTTTCATACGTGATCTCAATTCAACTCTGATATATGCCCACCCTTCAAGAGATGAAAAGTTATATCACTGTGTCTATAAATCCATCAATGTAATAGTGTCTCAGAAAGTACCTTTGACTCATATTAAGGACCTATGTATTCATTTATTTTTTAAATGAGAAGGGGGAAAAAAAGGAAAAGGGGGAAGAAATAAGAAAAAGAAAAAAAGGGGGGAGGATAAAAAGGAAAAGGGGGGAGAAAAAAGAAAAGGGGAATAAAAAAGGAAAGGGAGGAAAAAAGAAAAGGGGGGAGAAGAAAAAAGGAAAGAGGGAGCAAAAAAGGAAAAGGGGAGGGTAAAAAGAAAAAAGGAAAAGGGAATAAAACAGGAAGAAAAAGAGAAGAAGAAAAGGGATTAAAAAACAGGAAGAAAAAGGGGAGAGAAAAAGAAAAGGGGAAAAAGAAAAAAGGAAAAAAAGCAGAAGAAAAAAGAAGGGAAGGAAAGAGGTCCATTAGTAGAGAAAGCAGTGTTTCTCTAGCTCTGCAGGGCCGCCCGTTCCCCTGTCTCCCAGCCAGGCTGCATCTTTCTTCACCTTCTAAGCTGCCTCCAGGGCTCCAGAATCATGCGGTATCTCCGAAATTCTCAAGGTCTCAATCCTTTTGCCCACACCATATCCTATTCTTTGCTACCTAAGCTCCAAAGAGTGCAGATTTCAATAAATTCACTCTTAGTTCCTATTCACAGCCCCTGAGGCCCCTAAAGGCAGCAAGTACCTTACTCGACCTGAAGCCTTGCCTAGAAAAGGCTTAACTTCTATGCCATTGCCCCTAGGATGAGTTTTTTTCTCCAGAGGCTCCTCAGCCCCTTATGTAAGAACCTCACTAGCCCTCCTATACTCCACTCATCTAGACATACCTGAGTTGTCCAGTGACATTCACCAAACCTGAACCCTGAGGAGTTTTCCTGGGACATCCAGCAACTCAGCTAGTTCCATCAGGGCTCAGCCTGCAGTGCTAGTGCCTCCTGAGGATTAAACCTTACTCCAAGCCACAGTCGGCCTTACAGACTCATTCTTTCCTATAAATTGCTTGTCTTCTCTTGTTTTGTTCAAAGAAGCAGAAACCAGGAAGGAATATCCCAGCTTGGATAGGGCAGGAAAGCAGTGCCTGGGATAAGAGGTAAAACCTTCCCAGGGCACCGCCAAACCAAGCACATTAAGATAGGAGAAAAAAAGAAGACATTAACATAGAAGAGAATTAAAGTGGGGCTCCAAGAAATTCCGGGCTATTATTTATGTCGGTTTGACCAATTTACACGTATAGCATGTGTCTGCCTTTCCTTCTTACAGACATTTAATCTACCTGGCATTCATTAGGCAAAACTTCACTGTGCTGTCCTAGTTCAAGGACCCAAGGCTCATACATGAGCAAGAGCAGCCCCTGAGAGAAGAGGTTCCATTTTTAGCCAAGAAAATACGAGAAACGGGGAATTGAAAAACAAAATGGTGCATCATGACACATAGGTACAAGCAAAGTACTGGGACGCAGAGATATGCAAGGATCAAAAGGAAGATTGTATATCAAATTATTTCAAAATTACAGTCTTTTAAAATTCTTTTGATCGTTTAGAGCCTAGAAGTTCATTTCGTCGTGAATTCCTAGTACTGCTTGCTGACCTTGTTGTGTCCTGACTCACAGTGGCCTGGCCCAAGGGCAGGGCTCCCAGGTCTTTGCAGCCAGAGCACTGTATTGTGTTTCCTTACAGCTGGCGTACATTGGATACTTGATGCTCTTCAACTATATCGTGTTAGTGAAGATGGAGCGCTGGCCTTCCACCCAGGAATGGATCGTCATTTCCTATATTTTCACCCTGGGAATAGAAAAGATGAGAGAGGTAACTGCTTTCATAAAAGAGAACAGAGGAGAAAGACAGTGGTTAGTTACATCTGTGGATAGAGGGGATCATGGAACACTCGGGATCCAAGTTAAGCCAGAAACTATTTCTCCAACACTGCCACAGAAATAAAGGACTTGGCTTCCACGGCTGCTGACAGACCTGGGAGGCTTCAGTGTGTGTTTATAGGGTTGTCAGTCCATCCATGCTTGGGATCTAGTCTATTTTCTGCTAGAGTTATCTCTTACCCCAAGAAACCCTCCAGTTGTCTTCAACACTGTTTACACCTCTCTTTCCTCGTCCTGATAAACATGACTTTAAAATTTTTTCTACTTTAAGAAAGTTTTTTTAATCTTTAAGTTTTCCACTTTTAACTCCCATTGCAACCCCTTACTCTGTGTCTCTTTGGACACAGTCCACCAATACCTATGATTCTGCAAATGCATTTCAGCAGCTCTAGGAGGAACTATGCTTTCATTCATTAATTTATTCCCTGGTTTATTCCTTCTCAACACTTACTATGTCCCTGCTGGGTGCCAGCCTCTCTACCAGCCCTAAGTGAATTGAGCATATTTCTTGTCCTTCAGGCTTGAGGATGTGGGTCCCTCTCTTCTCCCCCCAACGCCATCGCATAAAAGGAGCCATCAAAATGCCACCCTCCTGTGACTTGAAGTCAAAGCTAGCCTCGGGTCATCAGATTCAGAGCCATTAGAATAAATGTAGTCAAGCAATAATCCACCAGAGGGCTCTGCAACCCTGCCCAACAAGCTCCCAAAGCCCATCCCCAAGCCCACAGGAGAGGCAGGCTTGTAAGTTATGATGATTCCTCTGCATTTCCCCCTGGAACTACAATTAGCTGAAGAGGTTTTTCTGGAAGAATTACCCCCTGTCAAGTGCACTGCATTCTCGAGAGCTCTGGAAAAACCCTACTTGCTGTACTACAGTGAGTAGGAAAATATATTGAGCTCCATAGAAAAAAGGATTCCTACAAACCCACAAATTCACCCTTGCCTTCATTACTAAGACAGGTTAAAAGGGCCTTACTATCTTAGGGCTTAGCTCTAGAATGTTCTCCAGAGAAAAAGTGGGATCATTTTTTTTTAAAAAGCAAACATGTATAAATATTTAGAACCCTTCCTTGGGTTAACTGCTTTGGGGATATTTAAATTCTAACCAGCATGCCCCTATCCTGAGAGTCCCATTTTATAAGGGACTGGATATTTTTTTTTTTTTTAAGTGGCTGCCTTTGCCTCATTCCAACTAGTTGTCTACTCTTAGGCTTTCCCATTCATAATGCCTTCCACTTCCTGACCACTGTTGTGCACTTCCCATTTGTAAACTGAAAACAGTAATAAATTCGCTTTGGTCTTTGTGTAGCTCTCTGAGAACTGAGGCCGCAACTGCTGAGGGCTCTGTTGCTGTGCAGCGCCAGCTCACTGGCTTTGTGATTTAAAGCCCAGATGCCTATTCCTTCCCCAGGACAAGCAGAAAAGGGAGAGACTTGAGCAGGGAGACTGGAATCTCTCCAGGGACTAGACTGGAAGAAGACAGGGAGCAGTCTGTACTCCACGGACTGTTCTGGAAGAGGCTGCCAAGCCGGCGGGCTGCCAGGAATCTCCAGGCTGGCTATCCATTTCTCCTGAGGCGGCATATAACAGCGGGGAGAGCAGGCTTTGGAGCCTGGGGTCAGCGGGGGGTCAACCAAGAGTCCTTGTTTCCGAGGGAGCAGTGGGGCGGGAGGCACTGACCACCTAAGTATCTGACCTTCCCTTCGGCCCAATGAGGTTGCGCCCTGGCCCCTCACCCCACGTCCCTGAACCCATTAAGGACATGCTCAGGCGCCAAGCGTCCCGCCTGGTGCCTCCTCACAGCACGCGGGCCCTCCAGACCTCAGACGCAGGAGCCTGAAAACAGGAGAAAGTCTGTAGGCTTCCGCGCCTCCGGGGACATAGGCGGGCTCTGTGGTTTTTCCCTGAGCCCGCCCCTTCCGGCATACGTACATCTGCGCGCAGTCAGCCAAACAAGCCGGGTCATCACGTAATAACGCGTAACTGCCCCCGGCTGCGGGTAGACAGCTTCTCACGTGGGGCCTCCTCCCCGCGACTTGTGAGGGAGGTGGCGTGCTGTGAAGACATCTCCACTGCGCAGGTATGGAAACCAAAACCCAGGGCTTGAGCAATTTTTCTGCATCCCACAGCTAGAGAGGAGAGCTGGGTCTTAAACCCGACTGACCCGGCCCTAGGCCCACGGCTCTTTCCACTCCCCGCGAGGTTGCAAACTGAGACGCTCCCCGGATCCTTGGGATCCTAAGAGAGACCTCACCCCAGCCACTCTGCTTTCATCCCTTTTTATGTTGAGATTTCAGAAAAATACTTTAACTATTTAAAATATATATACATATATACTATAAACCTTAGGCGAGTGTGGGCAAAGGGTTAGAGAAACTCTAAAGCATTCACCACCCCAGCACGTACGCTTGTGCACAGACAGGTTTTTTCCCCTAGTTAAGCTGGAGCCTGGGTGGGAAGCCATCAGGACAATAGCTGCTGCAGGAATTCCTCATGGGTAGGAGAGTGGCTCCCAACCTGTGGTCACCAGCATGACCTGGGAGCTTTTAGAAATGTAAATCCTCAAGTCCCACACAGGCATACTGAAGCAGAAACTCCAGGGCTGGGGCCCAGGCAACCGTGTTTTCACCAGCCCTCCAGGTGATTCCGATGCATGCTAAGGGCTAGGGTTTAGGAGTGAGGCACTAGAGGATGAAGAATGAGGCTGCCACGTGGCTCCTGGTATCTTGCTCAGCCTTCCAAGCCCCAGTCCTGACTCACTAAAACCTCCCTTCCTTAATGTTTCAGGCCAAGGCAAGCTATTAAAGGCACCCTGAGGATTCAAATAAGTAGCTGTAGATTAGACCTGGCCCCAGTCTTTGCACTCCTCTCCTTTGAGGGGTCCTGAGTCGGGAAAGGGGTGGGTCATGGCTTGAAGAGGTGGAAGTCTCAGAGGCAAACACAAGTGATTCGTGAAGGTAGCCCTACTGTATAGCCTCACCAGGTTCCTCACATCCTGTGGTGCAGACTGGATGTCAACTCCTGCTATCCAACTGTTCATAGAGTGTGGAGCAGCAAAAAGCCCCTCTAGATTTAAGATAATTCAGAGTACCACCCAGCAGTTAAGATAGGGGAGTGGGGAATTGCTATGAGGTGTCTCTGCAACAATGAGTCAACACATATTTCTTGAGTGTCTATTATGTAGCAGGGCCTGGGAAGCAAAGGGTCTGTTCTCAAAGTTTACAGTTATAGATGAGAGGAGAGATGGATGGATGTTGAGAGGGATGCATGGATAGATGATAGCTAGCTAGACTGGCATGCGTACATGTACGCACACGTATACATGCATGCAGAAGATTTCCATATAGTGATAAAAATCTTCAAAAAATAGAGTAGGATAATGTGTTAGTGGCTTGGGCGTGTGGAGACCACTGCAGGGAGGTGGTCAAGGAAGTTCTTCCTAAGAATGGGAAATTTGAGTGGAGACCTTGAGTATAAGGAGAACCCAGACATGTAAAAATCTGGGAGAAGAAAATGCCCAAAAAAAGGAACAAGTGCAAATGTCCTGAGTATAGAATGGATTTGTTATGCTTAAGAGCAAACCACTATGGCCTCAGGGTAGTGAACGGGGAGAATATGGTGGGACGTGAAATGAGGCCACCGTAAGGAGTTTGGATCTTTCTGTATTCGTAATGGAAGCCATCAGAAGGCTTAAATATTCAGTTATCACAATTTGCTTTCGTTTTGCTGTTGTTCATATGTCCCTCAAGTCTCTCTCTCTTTTAAATTGAGGTATAATTCACCAGTAAGAAAACGAACAACAGCTGTAAGGGTACAGCTTGATGAGTTTTTACCTACCCATACAACTGTGTAATCACCACCCAGCTCACGGTTTAGGCTTTTAAAGGTCTTTCTGTGTGCTGTTCAGAGGATACACTGAGGCTGGTCGGGCAACAGTGGTGGCAGGGATACCAGTTAGAAGGTTGTTGCAATCATCTGGGCAATGTAATGGGGCTTAGGATAGAGTGGCGACAGTGAAGGTGGTGAGAAGTGGTTGGACTAGGTCGTATTTGGAAATATAGGTAATAGGACATGTTGATGCAGAGGATATGGGTATGAAAGAGGAATGAAGGAGTCCTCCTAAGTTAGTGGCCTGAGTAACCCAATATGGTGATACTGTTTACTGAGATGAAGGAGGATTTTGGAGATTTGCAGGGTATTAGGAATCAATAATTTTATAGCAAAACCCTAATGCATATCTTAGAATTGTAAGGCATCCCAAAGGATCAAACTTAATTGCTTATATACAACTGAGCTAAGCTTAGGCCATCAAAATGAGTAGATACAGGGAGACAAAACAAGCTACTGCTGTCAGCTAACAGACCAAGCACTTTCCAACTGGGCTGAAAATATAGACAGAAATCAAACCTAACCCCACTCTCTTTCCTGACTTTTAGATTTTGATGTCAGAGCCAGGGAAATTGCTACAAAAAGTAAAGGTATGGCTGCAAGAGTACTGGAATGTCACAGACCTCATAGCCATCCTTCTGTTCTCTGTTGGAATGATCCTTCGTCTCCAAGACCAACCCTTCAGGAGTGACGGGAGGGTCATCTATTGTGTGAACATCATTTATTGGTACATTCGTCTATTAGACATCTTCGGCGTGAACAAGTATTTGGGCCCATATGTAATGATGATTGGAAAAATGGTAAGCAGGGTCCTCTGATTCCATGTTATAAGTTCTCAGAGAAGGAGTGGTTATCATAGGAAGAGAGAAATAATTCATTTGGGTCTGCTGCCAATGTCTGAGATGGCCCTGGGGGTGTTTTATTTTTTAATTCCTTTTGAGTGTTCAGAAGTTTGATTACATCTATATATTATTAATACATAACTGGAGGATTAACTATCACTCACTCATTCACTTACTGACAAATATTTATAAACATCATCTATTTTGTGCCAGGCACCTGGGTAGGAGTTGGGTATATAAGGACACTTATTTAATGAGGTAGATGATGAGAGAAAGAGAGAAGTGATTACCATACAGTGTGAGAATGCTGTAACAGAGTTGTGTATAAAATACCTCAGGAGCATAGAAAAGAGATGGTTGGTCAGGGAAGCCTTCACACAGAAGTTACATTTTATATCGGAGAAGGTATGGATCTCCACTGTAAATTTTTAACAGATTCCTTTTTTCTTAATGAAGTTCTAGAAAAACATCTTTCCC